TTCTTTCTTTTCTTAGTGTGTACAAACGTTATATAACGTTTGTACACACTAAGAAAAGAAAGAAACGTGACATCACTCTACACAGACAACAGTCTTAATGTATGTTATATATGTGTACCCTACCTTGCAACGTGAGCACACACTATATATAACGTGAATAAGAAGAGAAAATCGCTATTTGTCGCATCTCTACTATCTACTTTGACGTTAGATGAACATCTAGCGTGATAAGGCTGAGAGATTTATCACAGGGCTGGGCAACTCCGCCGAAATTCAACTCCAACTCCATTTCAAAAATTTGCAATTCCGTTTCAACTCTGGTTGTATTTTTTTTCTTTCATATTCCGAGACAAGTGTTAAAATCTATACTGATGAAGTACAGTCAATTTACAAAAGAATGAATAGGCAAAATAGAATCTAAGAAATTTCCTCCTCCCCCCTAATCGAAAACTCTGACTATGAAGTCTCTCAGGCAACATGAACAATCTGTACTGTAAAAATTTGATGATAATCTTATGACAAAATAGTTCAAACACATTATTCAAAAAGAAACGATGTACATCAATTTTTTTCCGTTTTTCATACAGCGGTGAACGACATATTTATTAAACTAAGTGTATTAAATATCCCTAGTTTTATAAAAAAAAAAAACACATTAAAAAGTCAAAGAATATCAAAGCATACTTATTGTTTCCGAACTATATTCTATCTCTAGGATTGAAAAGTCAAACAAACAAAGTTTATAAATGACAAAATCGGAGTTTGATCGCATTTACCAAGAGTTATGCTTTCAATTCTCTTAATCATCTATTTTCGACATGTTCTCTTCCATCTCCTAAATACTGGGAATAAGTCAGAACTAAGATATTTTTGCTGACAATAAAATGTTCAGTTAATTTAATGATCAGTTAATTAATATTGCTTAAACGAGTAGTAATCAAAAAGTAAGAGTATGTTTCTCGTTTTAATAATTTTTAATTTAACCAGGTCTAAAAAGGCCGTAAGAAATTCATGTTTATATAATCGATAATGTTCATTACAATCCTTGTAGTTATAAAGTTGCCAATAGAAATTTTAAGAATAAAATTAATCATAATTTTCCTTTTGATTAGTATTTTTCCATTTTAATTTTTTAACCGTTGTTTGACTTCCACATAGTTGACATTCAACAACAAATAATCGATTTTTGTTCAATAAATGTGTATTCGCTGATCGACACGATTTACACAAAACATATTCATTTAAAAATTTATTTAATGTTCTATTCATTTGTTGAGTATTTGTTCTAACATTCAATATCAATTGTTGATTTTTATTTACTGATGATTGACATTCATAGATTTCTTCTAAATATTGTTGAAAATATTTAATATCACGATTGACTAGTTTACATAATTTATGATAAGCCATCCAATTTGAAATAATTGTACGAGTTTGACCAATAAGTAATTGAGCACACGGTAGAACAATGCGTTGCTGTCGTTGACGAAGTAATTCTGGACGATCGATTTCTAGTTTATTAAATGCACGTTTTAATAAAAATTCATAATCATACAACTCAGTTGTTTCGTCATGTTTACATTTTGAAGATTGTTCAGTAAGTGAATCATCGTCACGTTTTTTCCTTTTAATAGTCGTCGTATCAGTATCATTGTTCGTGACGTTATCAATGTTTAATGATACTACAATATTATCTGCTGACGATAGAGATGATGGACTCACATTGTCTTTTTCATTTAAAATTTTTTCTTCTAAATTAATATCGTTTGGTTTTAATTTAATGGAAAAATAATTTTTTATCCGTTTTATAATAGAATTATTATTTTTATTCGTTTTATCGACAAGTGATTGTAACGATCGGGATAATTCTAGTGATGATATTGACGATCGTTGACTACTCGCTACACTACCTCTTCTTGATGTATCACCACTATAGCACATAGAAACAGAGTCTTCTGAAAATGTTTGACCAGTAATTGCCAGATAATCATGAAGAAAATAATCGACACTTGTACACATTTCTCTTGAATTGACTAGAACAAAACAACAACAAAAAAAATGATCAATGATTGATATCGAATTTTAAGATTTTGAATGTATATGAATCAAAATATTGAACTAAGAAGCTCTATAAAATTACCTGATACTATTTGTTTTATTGAATGTAGATGAATACAGTGTAATTTGTTTTATTTATTTCATAAATTATTATACGTAAAGAACATATGTCATCATATGCTTCTGTCAAAAATAGATCTGAATCAAAAAAATAACCACATTGTATTTGAAGTCTATTTATAGGTCATGATGCAATCAATAATGCAATGTATAGAAACAGAACGGAAAACCGTGGAAAACAAAAAACAAAATTTGTACAATATGATATTTTTCTTTTCTTCAAAAAAAAAAAAAATAACGTGCGAAGAATATTTTTTCCTCTTCTTTCCATTTTTATGCTCTCTACAGAATAAACATGATTCAGTGTACTATTTCAATAGCGGAAATCAAGAGAAGAAAAAAGGGCGAATTGACGTTGACAAAAAGGCAAATTCTGATGATACAAAAAATACGCCCTATAAACTTGTAAAGTGTAATCGACCAGTTTTGCAGTTTCAAATACGGTTGTGTCATCAATCATTTTGCAAGATTCTTGTTTCTTGACATCTCACATAAGAAATCTCTATCTGGATTCTTTGACAAAATTTCAAGAAACATTTTCTACAAGACTCTCTCAAACAAAAAATGCATATTTAGTCCGTGTTTAGTTATTTACAAATATTTCACGATACATTGTTAGAAAACAAATTCGTTGAGACTGCAGCGTGTAGTAGGCGTGGGACAGTTCCCGTTCCCAGTAACTGGAACTGATCACTAGTCACCGTTTTCTTCATAATACAGATGTAGAAAAATTAATGCTCATCTATCTTGTTTTTTATACTGTAATAAACTCATCCAGTTCAGTTCCCACGGACAATACTGCTATATTTTCTACAGAAACAATACACGTATAGAAAATCTTTATTCTACAGCCTTTAATGTGAATGTTCCTATACTATGGAAAGCGCCTTTTACTGTTAAAAGATATTATAGAACAACAAACATCCGCGAAGAGATGTAAAAGTATGTTGATTTGAAGGAATAGTTCCCAGTTACTAGAAAAGGTAAGTAATCACCCATTCTTTTAACTAGTTACTAGAAACAATGGGAACTGGAACTGTTCCACACCTACCGTGTAGTAAATCTACAAACATTTATGAAAAATTCATCAATATTTTGCAACAATCGACCACAGAACTATGCAGATTTTGTTAGAATTCCAACATAAACCTTGTCTATATTCTGTATGCATATTCTGCGCAGAAATTTGCAAATTTATAATTTGTCCAGACACTTTTAACATGGGCTCTCATTCGAACTGGCAAGATTTAAAGCAGTATCCGTAAACACTTATACATACTACTGTGAGTTGTGTACAGTATGGAGGAAATCGACAAAAAAATGACGATTTTATTGTTCGGGAATTTTCGCGACGATCAAGAAACGTCATTGAAAAATGAATGTAAGAACCTTGCAACATCGATCAAGATAAATGCAAAAGTTCTTATGTGAAACTGTGAGAACCAAAAAACTTGCAAAAACATCGAAAAAACAGTGATTCAGCGTATCAGAAAAATTCTTTCTTTTTCATTGCAATTTTCTAATGTGTACAGCACACACAACTCTATACAGATTTATCTGATATTTAATAATTTCCCGACGTACAAGTAATATGCACTGATCAAAAATTCGCTTAATATAATGATCGTTGCATCAGAATTTGAATAGAACGTTGTATTTTTTATTCGATTATATGTGATATTTTGTACGTAACACCTTTTTTCTTCATAGAATTTTTCATGAGGCAGACACGTGGATGACTTTTTTACTGCATTTTTTTTCATAGACTGTTATAAAATTGTCCATATTTTTCAACGTGAGCAAGACTGTCGTATTTTTGACAAATTGTGGCAGTAACCAGAATTGTCTATGTAAAAGTGTACATATAGTTTTTGTGGTACATATTTTTAACAAAAGAAGTGTTATCGGACTAGTATGCATATATATGTCGTATTGAAGTTAGTATGCTTATAGAAGTTATAACTTCGATAGAAATTTTATTGAAGTTAGACAACTTTGATACCAGACTATATTGACATTGTAACTTCAACAAGTTTTTCTAATAAAGTTACAACCTCTTTATACACACTTCATTGAACTTATAACTTCTATAATGTGTGTTATCGAAGTTATTTTGATTCAGCTAGCAAAAAGTTATTTGATTATTTGAATGAGATCATTATCATAACTGATAGTTAAAGTTAATTTTTTAGCTAAACAACACATATACATTTGTCTACTAGAAAATTAAAAATATACAAGTTATTTTGAAAAAATGAGCACAATTTAAAACATCCAGATTATCTGTTAGCGCATGTTGTTGAATGATGATATCTTGAATTATATAACATAATTGCTTGTTCGCATTTGCATTTATTGGTTTTACAACCTCTCTTACAATCACATTTCAACATTCGTTGTCCTCCAGTAATACTTTGAAGTCTGGCTGTTTCCCTTAATGATTTTTATTTATCTTTTGTAATATCTTGCGTAAATAACGTTGGCAAACCTGGTGCTTTAGATATATGATGAAAACTATAATAACCTAATAAGACACCGTTTTCTGTACCTAATTTATACTTATCGTATTTAATTTCCATTATAATAGCTAATATATTATGTGCATCCGTTGGACCAGGATCAACATTATGGAAGTTATAAGTTCGATGAAGTGTGCTTATCGAAATTGTAACTTCAACAAGTTCTTTTAACGAAGTTAGAACTTTGATAATCAGAGTTGTGTAACTTCAATAAAATCTGTCGAAGTTATAACTTCTATAAACATACTAACTTCAATCGGACATATACGTTGTAGTGAAAACTGGAAGTCGGTGAAATTCTAGATTTCGCTAGATAAAACTGGAATCCGAGTTTTCCCCAGCGAAAACTGAGACGCATGTGCGTGCACATGCTTGATTCCAGTTTTCTCCAGTGAAATTCTAGATCTCGCTAGGTAAAAGCGGAATCCAAGTTTTTTCTAAAGAAAACTGAGATGCATACATATCCCGATTCCACTTTTTCCTGGTGAAATGTGAAATTTGACCAGGTAAGAGTGGAATTAATGTAACGCAAATCGAGTTACAGAAACAAAATAAATATTTTACAAAGATGAATGAACAGTCGCATTGTCTAAAAGTTATTTTCTGCACCTCTTTTTTCTTCTCTCCTTCACCCTCCGCCTCACCAATATCGTACTCTTCGTCACACAGAAATTTCTGTTGAAGAGTTATCTTTCTCTTGTTTTTACATCGATTAAATAGAGATAATAGCTGTATTGATTACATAAAGTATATTGTACAAAACAAGAATAACCCACGGAAAGGTAGATTATTTATCGTCATATAAGAGAAAATATCTACAAACAAGAAGAAAACGACGTGCAAAAAATAACTTTTAGACAATGTGACTGTTCATTCATCTTTGTAAAATATTTATTTTGTTTCTGTAACTCGATTTGCGTTACATTAATTCCACTCTTACCTGGTCAAATTCCACATTTCACTAGGGAAAAGTGGAATCCGCATATGTATGCATCTCAGTTTTCTCTAGGAAAAACTTAGATTCCAGTTTCATCTAGTCAAATTCTAAATTTCACCAGGAAAAACCCGAATTCCGCTTTTATCTAGCGAAATCTAGAATTTCACCGACTTCCAGTTTTCACTGCAACATATATATATATGACTGCTGCAAAAGAATAAGAAAATAAAAGCTATTCTATAGTTCACTACAGTATAGTTCTACGAATTTTAGCTATTAAACAATTATTCATCGCGAGTATTCGAAACACTATCAAGGTCGAAATAATTAACTTCTCAATTAAAAAATATTAGATTTCTTATACTATGCGCCAAGTAGAATGTTATTTCACTCACTCGCTGACCATCTCCATGATGAGCGAAGTTTAACGCTCATTCTGTACTTTCTTCAAATCATATTCATCTCTTTATTTCGAAAATTTCTTCGAAAATTAGAAGGACGTAAAAATGGAATGAAAAATAGAAATACACTTGTTCTCCACAGAATAACAGTAGTCAGTAAGAGTGTAGTCGTTCACATTGATCTGGCAATGTTTGACAAGGAACGGCAACGATTTGAAGTTCTGAACTGTCAACAGTATTTTATCAGTTGACAGTTACTAACATCAACGTTATTCACTATAAACATTTTTACTAAATAAATTTTGTTTTGCAATCGATTTTTTGTTACTCAAACCTTGGAAATTCCCGTAAGAAGAGTCTGTAACAAAAAGCCGGTTGCAAAACAAAATTTATTTAGTAAAAATGTTTGAAGTGTATAACGTTGACGTTAATAAGTGTCAACTGATAAAGTACCCTTGACAGTTCAGAACTTCAATGGCAAAATCATTGCCGTTCCCGTTCGAATATTTGCCAAATCAATGTGAACGGCTACATCTCTAATCACTATTTCGTAATCATAATAAAAATTCAATTTAATTCATCTACGGTACTAACATATAATTCACACATTATCTCAGGTAAACAAAAGACGGCTAAAAAGTGAGGTCCGTTTTTGGCCTCGGACGGGTGACCAAGGCCAAAAAAGGTATGGACAAAGTGCCACTTTTGGACGGGATGACGACGTCCGGACGGCGCAGAAAAAGACGGGTGAGGACGACTGTCCGGACTAGTGTTGTGACTACACACCTGTCGCGTTTTAATTATTTCAACTCAACATTATCCGACATCATCCAGATGCCCATCTTCGTTTAACAGACAATGCTTTTGTCATGTTATAATCTCTATCTGAAAAGGAAAAATCAGTATGAATGGAGAATCAGGTAGTAAATTCAGCCTTCTGTTCTCTTATCTAAATAGGTTTCAATTTCGCTAGTCACAATGTTACACTATTAGACTTTTTGGACAAGTTTTCCTTTAAGACACATCCCTTTTGCAGATTAACTAAGTCTGTGTATGTCACAAAAAAAAATGAAAAACAACTACTTTTGATATAAAAGGGTGCCTTAAAAGGAATGTTTCTTAAGATAGCTGAGATGCTGATTTCACCATATTTTACCCGGTTTTCTCTTCGGGAACATAATGCAATCAGCGTCAATCATTCATCTCAGACTCATTTTGATGTTGAGATCAAAACTTGTGCGCAATAGTTTTATTAACACACCCTCTTTGTTTAAATCCTTTCTGCCTGTCATAAGAACTATATTAATAGTTTTTTCTCATGTATTTCTCAATTATGGTTTGCCATATAACTGACATTTGATCTCAGAATAAAAGTGAGAGCGGTTAAATGTTTTATAGTTCGCCTATGAGTTTTACCGTAAGGTAGTGTTTACCATATGTGGAAACATTCACGTTTGGACTTTCAGAGAATGTATGTCCGAGAATATTATCGCTAGGATCAGTTCGTTATTAGAGCCAATCTAATATTTTGTGAATGAGGGGGAATGGCTGAGCCCAACATTTCTCTACAAAATGAGAACAATCTTCATCCCGATCCAACGCTTATAAAAAAAAAAGTTTAATAAGAGCCCCATTTATCGGTTTCGGTTATGTAACCGAAACCGATAAATAGGGTTCTTCGTAGAAAGGCGAGTGCAAGAAAAAGAGAAAAAATAAAAAGATTCTCCATAACTCATTTAATAGAGAAATGTTTGCTCTACAAAACTCAGTTGTAAGTAAAATTTAATATGCCATACTGTTCATACAATCTATTTCCGAAAAAAGCTAAAAGTATCGGTTTTTAACCGGTGCATGCCTATACCGAAGATACTCACAATTGTTATAACATCAATCTTTCATGCATTTCTCACTTCTGTGCAGTTTTATTTTGAGATCTTTATACAGCAAACATTACGAAGACGCTCGCAAACGCTCGTGTATGATTGACGATACCAACGCATTTTTCTCATTTTAAACGAGACGAAAAACAGTGCCTGTTATATAAGGCACTTTATCGGACTAGCGAAAATGAGACCCATTTAAATAAGGGAACAGAGAACTGAATTTGCTATGCTATTACAAAGTTCATAGAAAACATCAGATCTCATAAGATATTGTAAGACATGTTTCATCCCTAGGAGATTGTGCTTGGCTACATATTGGAACAAGTCTAATCGGTACTTCATCTCGAAGGGCTTACCAGTGGTTATTGGTGAAGGAGATGTACTATAAAAAATTGAACAAAAAACATGTGTCTTCGCCGACATGTACTTATATTGCTTTCACATCATTGATGAATCAACTCAGGTTGTATGTATTAAATCAGAATGTCTGTTTTAGGTAGTTGTCTGAACAGCCTTGTATAACAGAAGGAAGAGTGAAGAAACTTTAACTTATAGCGTCTTACTCAAAATGTTAAAGTAAGGTTTACTTCTCTAAACTTGTAGATTGCACATAACTTTAGCTTGCACTAGTTGAGTGAAATAATTGTTCCAGCCCATAAAAATTTTAATGACAATGATTTTGAAAATTCTTCAATCATCAGTGAGCAGCCCAATCGAAAGATGGAGACTAATATTTTCAACTAATATTTTCAAAGACTTTCGAGTCGAAACTTTCGACTTGTGAGCAAAAGTGTAAGAGAGGGCACGGATTCTTTAGCAAAATGTTTTTAGATTTAACAAGTCTAAAAAATTTTTAGAAAATTTTTTTTTATTTATTTATTGCATACGTGTCGTCATGAGCTTTCTCTAACAGAAAAAGATGGGGACAGAATCTGAAGAAAGTCAGTGTCTTCATAATTTGAGCACAACTCGTTTCTTTTTCGATAAATTTTTCTCATTATCACTATCTGTATAGAGTTCAAAAGAAATAAGGGTGAAGTGTGAAATAAAAGTAAAAACTTGACACTTTAACATCTATCAGAAACTCTTTTTCGCGTCTTTCTGTTTTTGCCTGAACTCTATTAAAAAAACCCGGTTTACTATCGCCTCCATCACACGTCCCCGAAGAAGTTATCGATCAATCACTTCAAGACAGAGTGTTTTCTAGAATGAGATGCCCATAGTACTTCTAACTTGACTTGGCATGTTGGCGAACTGTCTCATAAGATAGGAAGTATCAAGGGACGTTCAAGTTATTTGAAATAGCTCGATTAGTTAGACAAAAATTGTTATAAGACAAAATTCTGTATTCGTCAGCACGACCGAAATACGCTTACACAAGTAGGATGACTGCTATACGCCGAGATTTGCCCATTTTTTGACAATTATTCGGACATTTTGTCAAAAGTTAAAGTACTTGCTGTTTTACATGTTTTTTTTAAAACTTTAACTCTCATCTCTCCAATCCAAGGGCACTGAAATCGGGTTACCCCATTGCATCTGTGTCCAAAGGTACTGAGACAATGAGCATTAGATAGCTTGTCCAAGACTATCACGCGACCGCCGTTTTACAGTCAATGTTGAGCATGTATGAATAATGAATAACATAATATTACCGAAAGCTTGTTATACGATTCCTACACACTGTCGGTGATTAGAATTAATCCAACAGATAATTTCTCATATAGATTACCTATATTGTTCCAAAATACTTCTCTTTAGTTACATCGTGCCATTTTTGAAAATCAGTTATCGTTTGTACTGAAATTCGACACAATTCAAATATTTTTGTTAACTAAACATCAATCAAAACTCTTCTCTCCTTTGATATAACCATCAGTTTTTACGCATATGTTATACATAACCAAATATTGCAATTGTTTGTCTATTGAGATATCGAAATGCACTTCCGACAACTAACTTTTACGTTCATATTAAAAATTAACTGTGTGAGAATATATATCTCTTTTTGTGTCTTTTTTGATTAACGTTAAACGTTTTTATTTTACTTGCAAACAACGAAAAGAAAAAATACAAATATTCTACAAATAAACGGTTAAAAACATGCCCCTACTGTTCTTTCTAATAATATATATATATATTGTTTATAACTGCTTTTCCATTTTGTGATCTGATGTGGTAAATGGTTGAACATTCCACTGAGCATTTAATATTCGGTTTAATTTTGTTGGCTGTTGTCGATAATCCGTTATGAGAATGGAACCAGCAGATAGTGGTGATTTATTCGACAAATCATTTTTATTTGAGGATAAACAACTTTCCGAACGATATTTATTGTTTTGATGATCATCGTAAGCGTAAAATTTCTTTCCAGAACGATGAGGATGAAAAATTGTTGTCTTATTATTGTTGCGTGTTAGTGATGATGGCAACGTCGAAGGAATATTAACCATTGGAGATGCTAATATGGAATGATTAAGCCATATTTTATTGTTATAATTGTCTGGTGGTGTGGATGGAAGATGTTTTGATGATTTGATACCTAATATTTCACATAAATGTTTTCGTTGTGCTTCACGTTCAAGTTTTTCACCATCATGAATTATTTTAATAATAGCCGGATCCGAATCAATGTCAGGCAAATTTGAATAAATTGTTGATAAATCAGAAGTCATTGAAACTAGAAAGGAGAAACAGATAGCATAGAAATTTTCGTAAGATCTTTTCAACAGGAAAACTTTATTTTAACATAAGAACTTCCTCCTCAAAATTTAATTGTTCAAGAACTTTTTTAGAGATCTTCCGTAAATTTCTTATTTTTTCTGTCCTTTTGAGTATTTATTGGAAAGTATCGACTAGAAAATTTGTTGAATGCTTTTCTCAAAAAAAACTTTTCTCCATTCTATCTGGAATGCCACCGATCTATCGACTTACAAGTCACACAATCCAAAACCATATTTTCTGAGACCTATATAGGGATAAACCAATGTAGTTCATTTTTTAACAGAAAAATGCGGCGTGAATGAAAGAATATGTATACATGATTCGAACTAGAACTTATCAGATAATTCAGGCGAATTTGATCTAATGTTACTTTCCACGAATAGTTTTACTTCTTAAACCAACAGAAGATTCTGTTAGAATTCTTGTGATTTACTTTCATGTTAAAATCTGAATGTACTCACTACTTACTTATGTTTTCTCGATAGTTAAAAAGCTACGAAGTCCTAATAAAATCACTGTGCGAGTAAGAGCATTATCATTATTCGTAACATAGACAAAAAAGAAAACATAAAACATGTATATATAGTCTCTACTGTATTGCTGCCTAACCACGTGCTTTATTTTATGTAGAAGAGTTTTTCTGTAGTTGACTAGTCAGAGATAGGGATGTACGTTTGCACCACTACTCAACTTCAGACTAGCAGAGGAATAAACAATTTGAATTTTTAGACAGAAAATATATTTCCATCTTCATAACAGTCTGAAACGTTTCTACATCCATGTTTTTATCAATCTTAAAAGCTCTTCAGAAGGTTCGAAGAAAACTGAGGATGGGTCTATTTATAAAAATGATATCAAACTAAATCAAGCACTGGCACAATCGCTTTAGTCTCAATACCATTGAAGTAATGAGTAGAGAGGTTTTTATCCATAGTTTCAATTAATTTGAAAATATCTAGCAGTCCAAATAAAAGTTAAATCTAGTGAATGTACTTGTACTCAAATACTCACTCGTTTGCATGACGCAATCGAAATTGATCTTGTTCTAAAAGTAAATTTATTTGTGAACACTTGATTTTTTATTTAAGAAGTACTTTCATAAAGTACATCGTAGCAATAAAACCATATATTGCAAGTTTTAAGACGTTTGTAAAAGTTTATGGCAAGTAAATAATTTTGGAAATTATTTCCAAAATTGTCGAGTCGACAAGTTTTCCCAGTAATCAAGTAAAGGACGAAAGTTCACTAAGAAATAACTTTACTTATCTTTCGCATTATGTATTCACATTCTTTTCCTTTCTCTCAAAAACAAGAACTTGCACTTAGTTTTGGTTTTACGAGTATTCTTTTTTAGAAAGGAGTTAAACACTCCTTAGCTTTTTCCCAGAAAATTGAGCGACATCTGCAGTTCTCATTTTCTTTATTGTGTTAGTCTTTATTGTTTTGAAGCATAACATCAATTTGCGTAAGAGCAATGTAGGTATATTATATTCAAATTATCCATCCACAACTAGGTGTCTCTGCACTAAAAACTGAATAGCTTTTCTAATGACCAGTAGAAATATAGTAGGTGAGTTTGAATGAATGGTTTTATTTATTTGTTGATTTCTATGCTAGTCAACAAAATTAACTAATGAAAAACTATGAAAAGTCTATAGCTTTTCTTTTTTCTTCCGCTTAAATTCACCCGCAGTTTTCTTTGACGGGAACGTGGCTACTAGAAACAAGGAAGCTGAGATATTCTATATACTCTACAGCCACAAAAAAACTACACGAACTGCTTGGTAAAGTTACAGTGAACATGATTTTTTTTAACGTCATATTTCCTCATTGGCTCCAACATCTTGAAAGTTTCTAATGATAAATACCCTAGAAAGCAAATTGTACGCTGTGGACAGCGACGAACCCAGGATTCCAGTAAGGGGTGGGCCATAGCCTTGGCCAAGTGCCGGGTACGTCGCTGACAGTGGAGGTGTAGAATAATGGGTAAGAATGGAAAGCTTTCTCCCACTGGAAAATTTCTAAAGAATTCTTTAGTATTGTAAGAATCTTTTCTTCCATGTTTTCAGCAAAGATACAATTTTTTTTAAAAGAAATTTTCCCGAATTATAATATTTTCGCCCGACACGTTGGAGTAAACGGGTATTTTCTGCACCTCTAATGCACAGTTTGATTATCGGAGATACGTAATGTTTTACAGTCTACGACAAATAGTAAATTGTACCGTGTGCAATTCAAAATTTTAGTTTTCAGGAAATCTTTGCTAATAACTTCGGAAAAGATTAGTGGAATAACTGTATATAGATTAAGTCTGATTTATTCTGTGAAATCGTTTATCATTTAGTCTGTGATGAATCGTAAGATGCTGAAGATTTTTCTTCTGATTGTGCAAGAATTATCACCTTTTTTCTCTCTAACCTGTCATTATATGTATGTGTCTCCAAATTCATAAGAACAGACCTTCGAAATTTTAATGTTTGTGTCATCTCTTAGAAAAGTTTATATTTTGTAGAATTTACGAAAAGAAACAGAATGTACAACGAGTGTCAAAATCTCATTATAACTGCGATTTTAACGTTTAATGAAGCGGCTGTGCTGTGACATCAGGAAAAAACGTTACTTTTGATATATTGACCGTCCACTTTGTTACCACGATTTTTCTTTCGCGTTATGATGTCACATTTGCCAATTCAAACGACAGACTTCACATGTCATTACAATTAAAGATTTTTCGTCATTTTGGGGCTGCGTGTTCTTTGTTATGTGATAAGTTTTCTGTGTTTGGTCAGTTGCTTATAAAACAACAAAATATGGGTTATTTTAATTATTTTCAAGGATGCGCATGTAACGTGAATTGATGTTAATAATTTTGTAGGTATTTTGGAAATGAATTATTAATTTTAAGAAGCCGACACCTGGCAAAGGATAAAAACTACTTTTTATTTTATAATTACCGGATTAGTTGATAAAGTCGTACTTTGACCAATACGACCCATGAATTTTTGACAATAATTCAGTTACATTGTCTCAGTGCAAGTTACAATTCTTTTTAAATGAAAAAAAAAGACATGACTTGCATTTAGAGGCAATACAACTGAAGTCATAATTGGCGGAAGCTAAGTGGAATTTTGGCAGTACACCGCTTGGTCGGTCGCCAATTTGGTGAACCTCTAGTTGGTGAAAGTCACAATGGCGTACCTTCATGATTCCTTTCTGTGAACTTCTTTCTTTAATAAATTGTATTAAAAAAGAATTCTTTCGTTATTGTTTTTAATTTTTCTTTTTTTGTTACTCTTTTACAATATTGAACAGTTGAGTTAATTTTTCACGCTAGCTACGTGGAACTAGTTCGTGCGGTAGTCGCGTCCAAGTCTGTCTTAGAGGAGTGGCTAATAGAAATGTATGAGAAGTACGATCTCCAGAAAAAAGATTTTTTCTGAACAGAATTTTTTCTGATCTCCAGATGAACAGTGATTATCTGTTCCTAACATGTCTAAAAATACTAGAACTTCTGAATGTTTACCTTCTTTACGCAATCCGGGTCGAAAAATCATACTAAGATCGGGCGAGAAGTAAGAAATGATATGATTTGTACTGTAGAATCCTATGATTGCTTATAGCACGATTTTAGTACGGGTCTGATTATATGGCGGTCAGGTATTTCGTAATGATTTGAGCCGAAATTGTACTTTTTAGATAATTTCTTTGCCTTTACTGCAATTTCTGCTTGAAATGTTAAAAAATCTCAATTTCTAATTCAGACAACTTGTTTAGTGTTACAAATATATTACTACGGGAAATTCACTTTCATTTCATAGCACACTAGCTGCTTAGCAGCACTATCTACTACTCTCTCGATGTTGTATGATGCTCAACCCATTTATTTATTTTTGGTCTTTTCTTAAATTGAATTATGATTATTTGATAACACAGTTTTAATATGACATTCAGAATTCAGAAGAAAGCAGCGCTGAATCCAGAAGATTAGAGCAAGAAGGAAGCTTTTCCCTATTTATTTAGTTTGATGATAAGACTTGCGCTCAAAGTTTCGCATGAACGTAGTTTCGAAAGCCGGGTTGGGATGAATCAAAACTGCATGGATCATAGCAACGTATAAAAGAGAAAATCGCCTAGTGGAGAAAACACATTTTTACAGACTTACTCTTGAAAGAACTGTTTTTCTTACACTTTTTTCGACTCTTCATAATTTTGTTTACAGATTATTTTGCGAGAATAATGGATAAAACGTTCAATGACATCATCAATGTGGAAACAGAAGAGGAGTGTGAAAAATATTGACGAAAATTCGATTTTGTTTTTGTTTAAATTTGTAACTTTCATTCGATGAATTTGTGTTGCTGAAAAATGAAGAAGTCCACGAAATAAGTACATTTTTTTGTGATGCTCTGTTTTTTGATTCTTTTTAAAAGATTTACGTTGTTTTTAATTTTTATATTATTTTGTCCTGTTCTGATGTGTTTTATCCCATGAACTGAAATATTGTTCGTTTTCTCAACCTAGCAGCTCTTTTTCTAAACTTTTTACATTTCCCATACATGATTAAAAGATATGAAAAAAAATGAAGTGAGGAGATTAATCTGCGGCAAAAACGCACAAGTAAAGCAAAACCAGCGTAGCAAGAGAGACCAGCAAAAGAACAGTCAGAATCGTATGTCATTCGTACGCACGATCGTATAAAATCAGACATGGTCATATGTAATCTTACTATTTCGCACGTAAGATCTCATAGGATCAAATACGATCGTGCGTACGACTGTTGTACGAAATGTATAGTCTAGACCCTGTGACCTTTCAGGGACCACAATTCGGACGTTGGTCGTACTATTTCGTATGCACGAACTTGTGGGATCATTAAGGTTATATCTGTTCGTGTACGATCATACAATACGATCGTACCTAATCGTATCCAATCTTGTACGAGCCGCTCGTACAATTCTTTGATCCGGGAACATGTAACAGAAAAAAATGCAGCAAATCAATGGTAAAATTGTGACATACGAGGTCATTTCCTGTCGGAGAGTGCAACAGGAAACACGTTGCATGTACCGGTAAGGTACCAGTTTACCATGTTGTCGGATCGTACATGCAATGGGAACATTTGCTATTACTCGCGCTCTATAGACTAACTAGTCGATATATTGACTAGTTTTTCTTAATGTAAAATGATATCACGAGAAATGTATTTCTAGAATATATTTAAGTATCACTTTAGCAACGGAAAAGCGTGACATCGTTAAGTTCTCACGTTTTTCCTAGATGATCGTTTACACGTTTTCGTTACATTTTTACAGTGTAGAAAAAATTGACGTTTTAATCCATTTTTTTTCTGTCCATGTTTTGGTTTAATTTAGATTCGTCTATACATTTATTTTAGATTTTGATTTAAGTGCCTAAATGGCATATAATCGATCATTAGATATCGATTCACGTGCACGATCTTTTTCTGACCCTATTGTTCTCGATTATCATGATGTTACTATTAGACAATCAGATTTAGATACATTAAATCCAAGTAATTGGCTGTCAGATAATATAATCAGTTTTTCATTCGAACATCAAGAACACAATAACCAACAAGAAAACAATCAGAAGTTATTCACCTTTATTAGTCCTCCAGTCGTCCAATTATTAAAATTAAGTGAATCAACAACAGCCAAACATTTATTAGAAAATATTAACTTTTTAGATAAACAATTTGTTTTCTTAGCGTTAAATGACAATTCAGTTGGTTCATCAGTGGGAGGATCCCACTGGTCATTGATCATACTTTATGTACCAGGTATGCAGAAAGTATTTCATTTCAAAAAATTTGTTTTCCCAAAACTGGATTAGATACGATCAGTTAAAAGTAGAGTAAGAATATGTCAACCATATATATGATAGGCTTCCTTGACATTTGGCAAAGCTAAGTAATATCGAGATTCAAACGAATCGTCGTAGGATGCTGATTTATTGCGAGACGTGACCAGATCTAATACCTGCTTTTACTGTAGTAGTAGTGCTAGTGCTTGTAGCATGAGTCCCTTTGAAATTTTCAATACAGACAAGGCTCAATCGAAAGAATTCAACTAACCTAAGAGTGTTGAGTAAGATATAGTATATATGCAAGTGATACATCATTACCCTACCCTAGCAAAACATGAGTTTTCATGAAATTTTACTTTACACTTTCTATATTTAAATTTTTGTAGGGTAGAAACATACCATTCAATGTCTATTTCCTTAAAGAGCTCGTTGTTTTTTTTATGTATGTTAATAGACTGAAACTTTAAAAAATAAAGTTTATTCTTCTTTATTTATTTAGGTAAAGTCATGTATCATTTCGATTCAATGTTTCCATCAAATGAATCAGCAGCAAAGCAGTTATATCAAAAATTGGATGCATATTGTGAACAGAATATTAACTGTTCTCAGTCACCACAACAAATTAATTATTGTGATTGCGGTTTGTATGTCGTAGCCATCACCGAATCATTTTGTTCCTATGTTTATGATCATTATGACGCTGTTAATAGCAATAACACCAACCAAAATCAGCATTCGCACAATCATCGCCTGTCGTTTCCTTTTCACCACAATCAAAATAACGAAGAGTTTAGTCATGAAAAATTTTTCAATGATTTTCTTAATGATATTAAGTTAACAATGACTCCGTCTTATATAGCGAAAAAACGCAAACAATTGAAGACTCTTATTGAATCAATGATTTTTTCAAATTCAAAAAATGCACAATCAATCCCAGTAAATCACGATACGATGTCAACGATGTTATAGTCGAAATACAGTCTGAAAATAGTATTTTTATTAATCTCATCCACGTTATTTTTTTCTAAATTATCCGAGTGAACTTATTTGACATCAATCTGTAGTGTTAGTTAGTTTTTTTGGAAGTTTTTTAACTTATGATATATTGTTTCTCCGAAAATGATTAAACTTATTCATACATGTCTCTTTTTGTTTCCATTTTTTGTTTGTATACGCGTAGGATTTTGATTTATGCTTATTGAAGAGGAAAAACACAATTTTTGAAAAGTAGATAGAGAGTGAGTGTTTTTATAACATACAGATACACATAAAGTAGCATTGTAATCTACAAAGTCTGATTTGACTAGCAGTTGCTGGTATATTGGAAATCATTTGTATTTATGAAACATGTATAAACATTTTTATCATATTTGTCCAATCGAAAGAAGGCTGAATCTAATTCTAAGTGAATTTACAGTTTATGTTTCACATTATGAATACACGATAATTTCTTTCAGACGCTTTTCTGAATATTAACTGACTCACTATAATAGTTCCAGGAGGTAAAGCAATTGGTTTCATTCAAACGTTTGCAAAGATGCAGTTAGTTTAAGTTTGTATGTCGAAATTACATACGGTATAATTGATCAAAAACACGACGTTCTTTCCCAACGTCAAACTAAAAAAAGAGAATTTTTACATTTGACTTTCATTAGGTTTTATTTCACAAACGTTACAAGCGTTGACTATATATGTGTATAAATTTTATTTCCTTTCTAATTCATATTGAAAATCAGAATAAAATGATATTGGAGTTATGAAAATATGAAAGAATTGTTCTAAGAGTTTTAAAATTGTAATAAAAACAATTATCTATATTATATGGCATTCTCTTATAAAACGTATGTGTGATATCAATATTATAGAAATAGCCACGTTTTATGTCTGTGTATGTGTGTCTCAATGTTGTTTCATGTTTTACTTACTTATACAAAACACATAAAAATCATATGTGAAATAATATTTACACGTTTTTAACTTTCTGAAAATGTCACTTACAAACTGGTGGATATTTGCGTATTTGTAAATATTTTTCAAATCTATATTTTTAAACAGAAAATTTTCAGATAAAGATTTTAATTGAAAATAAATACACCTTGTTAGTCAGATTTTTTACTAGATAATAAAAAATATTTTTTAAGGTTGATATTTCGCGGCAGAGGCGATTTTTAGACGATATAAACATGAAATTATCTTTGAAGAACTACTTTAACATATCTGACTGATCAGTTCATCGAAACCTATCACATATTCGCTGCTAAACTTTTTGATGTTCTTTTGTTATCGTTCATTTTTCTCATACTTTTCATGTGATATTTTTAACAATTTGTATTCGTCACTTGTATATATATTTTTTCATTTTAGATTAAATATTATTCATCATTTTCCGAAAATGTCCGGTCGTACACCATCGTTCATTTTAGTTGGATTAATCATCATTCTTTTACTACTAGGAATGTATTATATGTCATGTTCATCGAAAAATAATGAACTTCGAATTAGTCTAGAAGATTTTGAAGAACGTGTACGAAGTGTAAGTTTATTTTTTCTATTAATATGAAAGTTCAAGTTCATTAGAGAAGATACTTGTTGATATTTTAGTTAACAATGAAAAATGCTGATTATGAACATAAAATTGATACTATAAATACTCGGAAACGTGACTTAGAAGAAGAAAAAGTGTCGATTCAGCGTCAAACAGAAAAGAAAGATTCTGAAATTAATGAATTAAACATTAAATTAAACGAAAAATTAGCAGAATTACAAAGTATAAAATCAGACAAACAAGTGTTATATAATCAATTGGTATATTTATCTTGTATGAATAATATTCATCTTAACGCATTTTTTTTTCTTCTCTGAACATTTTTAGAAAGAATTCAAAACGTTAAGTGAAAGCATATCATCAAAGGATACTCTGATTGAACAAATGAAACAACAATTAGAAGAACACAAACGTAAAAAAATGACGGATATCTATCTTTTGTGATAATCATGTTTTTATCTTTGAAGATACAAAGGATAATTTGGACAGTGAATTAGCAAAATTACGTCAAGAAATAGAGCAATATAAAGCAGAAAAGTATATAGTTATTGTTTTCGGTGAAAAATCAAATTCATTTTGTTTTATGTTTTATTTTAGAGTTGCAAGTAATCAACAACCACAACAACTACCTTATCCAGTTCGAGGTCAACCACAACCACTGGCAGAAATTGTAGTAACTGAAGGATTACCCGTTCGACCTCGACATCAACGATTTCTACCATTGCAAAATATTGACCCAAATCAAAATAATAATCCAGTTCCGGCTCCTGCTTCATCCTCAATACCTTCATTTCTACAGCCCCTTCAGAGACTTATGAATTTGACAAGTAATTTACAAAATCAGCTATTACCATCATCGGATAATAGTAATAATAACGATACACGTAATCAGAAAGCACATAATGATGCTAATAATCCTGAACATGTCCTAGCTCCTCCTCTGATAAATCCATCTTATCGATCACAACAACAGGGTTATGTTGAACCACAGCAATTACGTCAACAACAGCCTATCCAACATGTTACACAACAACAACAACAAGTTCAAGAGCCCAATCCTGATCAGGAGGGTAAGGTTAAAGTATTATACTAATTTCGATGTGGAAAAAGTGAGATTTCACTTAGGCAATTTGAGTAGATTACTTAATTAATAATAAAAAGTTAGTATTTTATCCAGTGCATTTATAATTGCTTTTTCGAGGTAATCTTTTCGATAAAGTTAAAAATGGCTTTTTAAAACATTTCAAACCAACAAGGACAAATGAAAGGAAATTAATCACTTTATTATTATCCTCTACTCGTCACGAACTAAAATATCGTACTAATTCAACGACAATATTAATAGTACCAGATCGTTATTTACTCAAGAAATACGATAGCACTTATCATGATAATTTATCTAAGCGACAGTGAATATACCTTTACAATTGCAATATTACCGTATGAAATTTTCTATGTTGTATTTTGCCAAATGCTTTTTGTCTTTTTATTAGTTTTTTAATTGAGCTATTGTGTAAAAAAATATTTCTTGCATTTTTTGTATATTTATTCTTTTTTTTTGCCTCTAGATGATAAATGAGTAGAAGGTAACTGTCAAATTTCCATAGAACGTTTTAAATTCATTAGAAAGGCTATAATTTTCAGTGGCGATCACACGCATTGCCTGATTCACGCAACAATTCTAGCTTTAATAGACGGTGTTTCGAAATGTATTTGTACTAATACATCTGTTTATGTCATTGCATGATCAGACTAATGCTCATTAGCGTTTTTCACCATATATCAACAGTTTTAAGTAATACATTTTTTTTTTCTTTGATTAGATCGACCAATGAATCCTGAGCAACAACCTCATCCGATTCCTCCGCCTATTGTAAGTACTCTCTTTTCTAAACAAGATACACACCGATCATTATTTTATGATGATCCAGTAATTAGTTATAGCTATACACAACGTCTATAGTTCTACTCTTCATAGATAGTTTTACTGTTTAATATGATTCTAGCAGGCATGGGCGAGTCCGAGTCTGGCCTGGACGATTTTTTGGCGGACTCGGACTGGATATTTTTTTGAAGGACTCAGACTCGGACTTGCGTTTTTGTATTTCGAGTCCGATCTATTCAACTTTTAACACAAATGAGCAGAGAAAAATGAAAAGCGAAATAACAACACCTACTGTTTCACATGAAATTGAAAATTTTGTTCGGGAGACGGATATGGAACGTAACCTTATTTTCGAAAAATCAAATATCTATCCATGGCTCAGCAAATTAAAATATAAACCATCCTCATCAAAAAAGAATCGAAAAGATTACTGGACTTGAAATGGACTCGGACTCAGTTCCCCCCCAGACTCGCCCATGCCTGGACTGTAGTCATTATAAATCGTTTCTGAAATCGGTGTTAATTTCCTTTTAGTTGAATAATCAGTTGAACAATGTATCCTCTAATATTGTTGAAGAAGAAGTAGATGATGTCGATAAAAATGAAATTGATAAACCAGCTGTGCAAAATGCAAACGATAATTTGCCTGAACAACAACCTCTCGTTCAACAAAATCAACAACAGCCACCGTTGAATCAGAATGCTTTATCGTGGCGGCGATCAGCACATGTTAACGATAATAATGATGAAGACGAAGTGGATGATAAAAAAAATGAAGACAATGACCTTGCTGCTGATGAACATGAAGAAAAAAATAACCCACACAATCATAAAATCGATGAAAATATTGATAATTCCAAAAATCTATTATAATTTTCATTACCCGTTTTGTCTGACCTTTTCTTCCTATTGATCAAATGTCCGTTATTATTATTGCTCGCAAAAATCTAGAATGAATGTACATTCAATAATCTCAGTATACACGTTCGTTCGTTATTACTCAGACTGATTTTTACTCTTTTTTTTCTTACGGTTCACTTAGCTTTAAAAAAACAAAGAAATGAACTTTTTCTAATCATTGAATTTGTGCTAATTTCTTTTAATACCGTAGGAATTTCATCTATGATTTAGCAATCAAATTTATTCAACGGATACCATAATCATGTATTTTTTTTCAGTTCTAAATGTTTCCGTACGTTTTTTCTTATAAAAACTTTGTTTTTGCACTCTCTGGGTGAATTTATTTATTTTTTTTTTAATTTGTTTTTTCTCTTGTTGCTGTGTATTCTTCCAATTAAGCGAAGTGTGTGACTTATTTACTAACTTTTAACGAAGTATTCAAAGCTATCGTGTGGGTTAAATTATTTCTATACAGCATATATTTTGTTTATCATTCTTCTCTTTAACTGTATTTATTTTTGACGATATCTATTATATGTTGACATATGTGAACACTAGAAAAAAGAAATTCATAATTAATATGTCATGATACCAGCAGCATCATTTAGCGTTTTTATAAAAATTTATAACAATTTTCGTTCGAATCTATTTTATAACAGCGTCACTGAAGAGAATAATTAAACTTCCAATATTGAATAATTTTCAACAATTTTCTGAAATAGAATTTAAATTTTTTAACGTTGTTATTGAACAGAAAAGAAATGATAGATAAACAAAAATATAATGAAATTGTCTTACTTTTCGTCTTCCAGACATTTCTGAATATTTTACAAGCAAACAATATAGATTCAGTAATAAATAACAGATATTTAAATATAGTAAACTTCTGTTTTTGGATTTGTGATGTTCATATAGTTCATTAGTATCGAACTAATTGTAATAACATCTCCAATACTATAAAGAATGCCTTGAGAGATATAATAGATTATTACTACTGGGCTAGAGTTTGAATACCATTTATAGCCTAAATTTAATTGAACTAGTAATAATACTAAATATAGATAATTCTTTTATATCTTTTTTTTCATTTAAAAACACAAAGAAAATCATAAATGCTACTTTATAAAAGTATCGTCAGACAGAGTCTGGAGACATCTCATTTCATTTAGAAATGTTGATGCTACAATTTTATATGTTGTGTTAATCACTTTGATCGTTATTTCATTAAAAAACTATATAAAAAACAAAATGTCAAAATTTCGTTTACGGAATTTTATTCTGGTAACAGAGTTATGTGAGTTTTGCTATTTTAAAATTTTATTATATATATAAAAAATTCGAACAACTTTCGACAATTTATATGTCATTTTACAAGAACATTCAGTTCACGAATAAGAAAAACAAATATCATTCCTCGAGGTACTTATCACGCACGATAAATGTTCATTGACAATCGCCAAAAATAAAAATATCATAGTTAAAGAGCCGCAATGAAGAACTATGTATGTTGTATGCTGATCGATGTGAACTGTATGTACGATGGACATCTATTTAGAATAAACGTTAACGGTTAAAATTCCAGCATCGTAAAAGGAATGTATCATCGACATATCAATATCTATTATAGAATATTAAAATCAACTCTTGTAAAACTCAAAATTGAAACAAATATTTGCATTGACTAAGAAAATTGTTTTTTTTCTTTCTAAAAACACAGGTGCGTCTCGCTTATTGATCAAAGAATCATTAACAATATAATCAAAGAAGTCAGATATAAATGCTACCAAAAGGTCGGTACCACTTGTCCTAAAGTGTTCTATGAAATATTGTACGAATAGAACAGGCAAAAGTAAAATTGTAATACTAAGTAATTATATGAGACAGCTTTAGTAGCTCGTCAGTACTATCATCCTCAATTTATTTTCTCTCTAGGGTCGGTTATTACTGTTCATTTCAACAGGCTGATATCTAGTATACTTATTTTCATTCTTTCGATTGTATTACGTTTTTGTGTTTTATCTTCGTGAAGCTGGCAAATGAGATGTTGAATACTCAAATTTAAAAAATATTGTTTAATACAATTTTGAAAAAACATCGGTCTTTATTCGAAATGTAAAGATCTGTAAAATATATACGGTGTTTGATTGTTGTATGAATGTGTTCAGATGAGATGTAGCATGATACGATAAATGGTGTTTAGATGCCTTCGTTTTGTGTAATTTGCATTCGCGACTAGATTTTGTCTTCGACAGTAATTAGAACCGAATCTCCGCATGTCAGTATTAGTCGTACTAATACAATTTTGTAAAATGAAAATAATCAGAGCTGCCGTTAAATAATTTTACTATTTATATTCAAACGTTTGCCTATCAACTGAAAAAATTCGAGTTACGTGGTCGCTTCCGATGAAATTTTTCTGGAAAATGGATATCGAATGGGCAGAGGGTGGAATTGTCTTTAACGAAGTTAACTTTTTATTTGTCATCACTATTGCTCAAACATGAGTAGTCAAATCGTCACAACAGTGCATAGATTCAAAAATAGCTAGTAAAATTAATAAATGTTATTCTGTAATTGTACCAATCCGTGTATTAAAAAAAGTTGGTATTTGTTCAATGACTTTTAGTTATTTAAAACTTATTGAGAGAATTAGTATACAATACAACCTACGTATAATCGCCCGATTTACGTTACATTTTTAAATTAAAACATGAAATAAGATTTGTTTTTTTTGTTTGAAAAGAAAAATATTGATGATATGACACAAAACACCATTTTGACTTTCATTACCAACGAATAAAAGACTTGAAAAATCATCACTATTCTCAAAATACAAAGTGGTATCACCTTTATTATTTAATAAAAACTGAAAACATGTCTTCGCATAGATTTTTATCTTTCTGGTATTCAACAATTCTGATTGTGGTAATCATAATACAAACTTATCTTTGACGGCTTAAATAATGAGATACTAATGAGCAGGATGAACAGGAACCTACATGGATGATCCTCGCCTATCTGTTAACATTTGCTATAGGCTTTAAACAAACTGAAAGAAAAATATACAAAATTTGTCTTCTCGTTCTACCGTATTATTCTAGCACCATGAAAATATCATTTACTCTTGAATGAACAATTAACTAATCCATAAAATTCTTAATTTAGAGCTTCAGGTTACTACTAGTCAACTCAAGTATGTTTAGTGTTATTATAGAATTATTATGAATATTTTTTTCTTCAATACTTTGTCATTTTAGTTTATTGTAAAGATTGGAATATAACACATAGGGTGGAAAATTTAACATTACAGATTTACTTTCCTCCGAATTTACTTGATAATAAACCTCAAACATCCTATTTATCCTGCACTTCACAACAATCACCAGTTCAATTGAATAATACAAACAACATTTATACGTGTACAAATTTAACAAGTGGTCCTTTATACCAAGCAACATTTGAAATACGAGTGAATGAAAGTATTTATTCATCATGTTATATTCAATATTCAATACGTAAGTTTGATCAATACATATATTTATATGCTTTGCGATTTCTATTTTTTAACGTTCTTAGCACTACAAGCGCCAACATTTTTGGATCTAATTGCAAATGGGAAATCATTAGCATTATCATTATTGAAGCCCTTTGGTCTCTTCGATGTAATTAGAGTATGGTGCAATGAAAATCAATTTAATTTTGAATATGCGGCTATTAAAAACAATCACACTCTATACATTCAATGTCCATTTCCTATAAACATTCCTCTAGTGCATATTAGCCTCGAAACACAACGAGATAGTTTTATATCTGCTGAACAAAGACTTGTGGAAGGTACATAAACATGTGTCTGATGATAATGTACTTGCACGTTATTCTCTATACTTAGTGTTATTACCAGTTCGATTTAATACAAATTTTGAGAATCGTTTTGTAACTATTTATTATCAATTTCCACCTAAATTAAACGTTTCTCAAACCGTATCATTTTCAATTCGTTTCATTGATGAGAATTTTGTCTCTCATATTCGTGCAGGTATCGATCAATTAACTGAATCGCAAAATGTACTGTCCTATCTAAAATTTGGTTTAATACCAAATTTTGAACATAAAATCATTTTTTTATGCAATTCATCAACAATGGGTTATGCCCAATCGGAACAGTTGTTTATTCCGGGTATGTAATATCTCAAATAATTCTGCATTGGTAGATTGTTCTTATGATTATTTAGAATGGAATGGCTCGTATCCATTTGATGTCGATGATCTTCGTGCAACTGAAGAATACAATCAAATTTTGTTAACATGGAGCAATCCTCATGAATCGAATGAACCTATTCAATTTTCTGTTCGATGTGATTCGCGAAGTGATTATCAAACTGTACCGCCGAATAATATATCTTTTATATGTTATAATCGCTCTTTCAATACCACAGACAATATAACTGTGAGAAGTCAAGCAGTAATCGATGGGTATATTTATGGTCAAGTTGGCGAGTCATACTTAAGTTGTAAGAAATTTGGATTGCTTTATAAACGCCTAATGCTTTATACACACACACACACACACAGCCTGTCTCTTTCTCTCTCTTAGTTTCTGGTTTTCCTTCTATATCCAACATTGAAATTGAAAATAGCACAATAAATTCAATTTTTGTCAAATGGAACAATATTCAGTTAGAAAATCAAACGAGATTGTATAACTACAAAATAAAATGTGGTATTGACCATAATATAGAACCACTTGGCACAAATAATTCACATCATTGTACAAATTTAATACCAGGTCAATTGTACGTTATAACTGTTTACATAACAAATATCGCTGCTACGATTCAACGAGTAAAACGTATCAACGTCAATACATGTAAGTGTATAACTTCGAACAAAAAACATCAATTCTAATTTTTATATTGATAATATATTGTAACTAAAATAAAACGAGTGCGTCTATTTTATTTTCCATTCCAGTATTGGACAGTGTACGATATGTCAATCACAGTTACACTCCTGATTATTTTCCATCAATTGTGAACATCTTATTTCTCATCCCAAATGGTTTCTTTGATTATCTCAATATTTATTGTCCACTTATAATGTATATTCGAGCACAAATTATTAACCAAACATTCGATACAGTTGCATGCAGTATATCCAGTGGTGCTCCATATAATGTTACATTTGAAACTGTTAAAAGTGGTTATTCTACGGCTGTTTATCTATTTACAGACACCGCACGTATGTCGTCATTTTCATACATTTAACCCTAATAATTCTTTTTTCTGCTGTAGCGGTAATAACAACAACAACAACAAATACAACAATATCTACAGCAACAACAACTACCGCAACAACAATTACAACTACAACAACATCTACAGCAACAACAACTACAATAACAACAACAAGTACAACAACATCTACAGCAACAACAACTACCGCAACAACAACTACAACTACAACAACATCTACAGCAACAACAACTACAATAACAACAACAAGTACAACAACATCTACAGCAACAACAACTACAACTACAACAACATCTACTGCAACTACAACAACTACACCAATACCAATCACAACAACAACTATTGCCACTACAACTACAACAACAACAACAAGTACAACAACATCTACAGCAACAACAACAAGTACAACAACATCAACTACCGCAACAACAACTACAACTACAACAACTACAACTACAACAACATCTACTGC